CTTCACTTAGGGCGGGCACTAGGCTTGCTGGGGCCTTAGCCCAGAACATGTACATCATGGCAAGGCCCCTTCTTGAGGGCTCAATCCTCACATTCCATCCCCCTTAGCTTCGAAAGTCCGCTGAGATGCTTACTTCGCAGGTGCCTTCCCTTTTAACATTCTCTCATACTCTGCCACCACTTGAGGAGCTGTGTCAATCAGTTCCTCTCTGGTGAACCATCGATCTTCCTTTGGATCTGTACTCCCGCTTGGGTTTTGGAGGTCTTCCTCTACCCAATGGCTTCTGAACAGGCAGATCTCTGTGATCCAGAATGTCGTCGATGTCCACTTGACCATCCATGGGTTGGGGGCAGCATCGATCTCCTTGAAGGGAATTGATCTGTCTCAGCGAAAGGTGCAAGCTTTGAGGCATGAAAGACAGGGTGAGTGCGTAGGTGTCCAGGGATACGGATAACATAGGTAGGACCATCCATCTCATCCCCCACTACATCCAGGACCTCCCAAGGACCAAAATACTGTGGCATTAGTTTACAAGAGATCCCGAATTCCTGTCCTAGCTCACTAGCCTTGACCCAGACACGTTCCCCTACCTGAAATGAGGACTGTCGTCGATGCTTGTTCTCAGAAGCAATCATTGCTTGCTGGGCTTTCTTGATGTGCTTGACAGCTTGCTGCAGCAACTTCTCATAGTGCACACCATACTCAAGTGTGCCTGGAGTTGCAGAGGATCGGTTTTCAGGTAGGAGGAAGTCTAGAGCTGATCTAGGCTTCCATCCCAACTGCAGCTGATCAGGACTGACGCCAGTACTGCTGTGTACAGCATTGTTGTACAGGCTGGCGATGAGAGGCAACTTCTCATCCCAATCATCCTGGCTGGGCTTGATGTAATGCCTCAGCAAGTGCTGTACAACTCTGTTCATTTGTTCGGCCTGCCCATTGGCTTCGGGATGATTCCCTGAAGTCATATGAAGTTGACTGCTCAGCAGTCTTCTTCCACAGCTCACTTGTGAATCAGACATCTTTGTCACTAACGATTGACTTTGGAAGTCCAAAATCACGCACCCAGTTGTCCATAAACAACTTGATGACGTGGTCCGTCCTGGCAGTCTCTGGCATGGCAACTAGTCTAGCGTAGTTGGTGAATCGATCGATGATGACGAAAATGTGCCTCTTGCCACTCTTACTAGTCACCAGGGTGTCCATGAAATCCACGGAAACACTCTGTCCTGGACCAGCGGGGATAGGCAAGGGCTTCAGCAACCCAAGCGGTGCTTGAGTTCGCGGCTTGTCCCGCTGACAGACCTGATTGCGTCATCTAGCATTCCAGGCCACCAAAATCGTTGTACTAGATTGACACTCGTCTTTTTGTAGCCAAAGTGTCCGGTTGCGTCATGACATTCTCCTAAAAATAAACTGCGCAAACTCTCACTTGATGGAACTACGAACCTCTTACACCCGACCTTATCAAGAAAGAGTAACCCATCCACCATCACAAACTCACTTTTTGTGGCCTTGTCTTTTGCCTGAAGTTTGCGCATGATGTCCATCATGACAGGGTCTTCCTGATAGGCTCCCACCAACGATTGAGTTACTTCCTGAGATATACCAAACTCATAAACTAGCGCCCCTAGGTAGTCTGCTCTACGAGATAGCGCATCTGCAACCTTGTTGTACTCTCCCCTCAGATACTCAAGCTTGAAGTTATAGTGATCTATGACCTCAATCCAGCGCTTGAGTGCATCAGAAAGAGCGGGTTGAGTCTTGATCCATTTGAGCGTCTGATGGTCAGTTCTTAAGTAGAAGAACCGTCCCAACAGAAAGTGTCTCCAATGGACAAGTGCCTTATAGAGAGCATAGAGTTGCCTTTCATAGGTGGACTTAGCCAATTTCTTCGATGGCATTTTCTTGCTCATGTACTCAATCGGTCTCAACTTCTTCCCATCCTGTTGAGCCAGCACTGCGCCAATGCCGTATTGGCTTGCGTCAGTGGTTACTATGAATGGCTTTTGAGGATCGGGAACCATGAGAACTTCATGATTCATGAGTGCATGCTTCAATCGTTTGAAAGCAGCCTCGCACTCATCACTCCAGTCCCACGGCGTGTCAAGTCGAGTTAGATCTGTCAAAGGAGAGGCGACTGTAGAATAGTTCTTTACGAAGTTCCTATAGTAGCTGCACATTCCTAAGAAAGATCTGACCTTAGTAACAGTCTGAGGTCGTGGCCAGTCCCTTATACTAGCCACTTTTGCATCTTCCGACCTAATCCCTTCCGCAGACACTTCATGAACCAAGTATAAGATCTTAGTACTTCCAAATTCACACTTCTCTAGGTTGACCTTATACTTGTGCTGTCGCGAGAGTGAGAGTACAGTCTCTACGTGCTGTGCATGCTCTTCGACAGACTTACTGAAGATAAGGATATCGTCTAAATAGACAACGACAAACTTATCTAGGTGGTCATGAAAGATCCTATTCATAGGCGCGTTACAAAGGCCAAAGGGCATCACAACAAACTCATAAAGACCATATCTGGTCTGAAATGCAGTCTTGTGTTGATCCTCAAGTCTTATTGCGATCTAATGGTAGCCGGATTTTAAATCTATCTTGCTATAATATTGCATCCCTGCACCCTATCCAATAGGTCGTCTATGTGAGGTAGAGGCTCTGCGTTCTTCACTGTGATGGCATTGAGGCCTTTATAATCAATGCACATCCTCAATGTACCCCCCTTCTTTGGTACGAATAGTACTGACGATCCGTAGGGGGAAGTACTTGGCCGGATCCATCCCTTCTCTGTCAGCTCTTTCAGTTGTCGCCGAAGTTCGTCCAACTCGGTCGGAGCCATCCTATAGATCCTTCCCTTTGGGGTCTTACTCCCCGGAATGATTTCTATGACGTGGACAACCTCCCTTTCTACGACTCCTGTAGGCTCCTCGAACAGATCAGGGAACTTAGCAACGACGTGTTCTATCTCTCGGGGAGTTTTAACGGCCGCCCCTTTCTCAGAGACATACACTAGGTACATACCCTCCTCTTGGTTCTGTTTGTAATAGTTATAGAATGCTGATGCACACAAGCAGCCATAGGTATCTATTATGCTACTGGCTTTGAACTTAGTCAATCTGGCTGTTCTGCCATCGGGCAACTTATGTTTTAGCACCTTCTTGTCCCAGTCAAATTGGGGCTTGGCAACCTCAAGGTAGTACATGCCTAACAACATGTCGAATGGTAAGTCGTCGCTAACAAGGAACGGAATCTTATGATTAAGTTCCCCTCCTCCATAGGAGAAGGTACAGACTACGTCCTTGATATAGTCTGTGACTATCATGCGCTCCTTATTGGCCAAAGTAGATGCTACAGGTCTACTAAGGTGCTGTACCCGGTCTTGTAGGTGCAGCCTTTCCAAACAGTCACGACTTATGTAATTCCGCGTGGAGCCAATGTCTATGAAAGCACCACATTTGCGGCCTCCTACATCAACTTCCACCACGAAATGTTCCCCTCTAGGACCTTTCCTCAGTGCCACCCAAGATTCGCGAGGGTCCTTGTTTGACCACTCACTTTCCATATCTTCTAAGGCTTTAGACACATCCAACGTACAGAGCATAGTTTGGTCTGGATGAATCTGCGGGGTGACTAAAGAGTCATTAGCTATGGCCATCTCATGAAATGGGGAGGGTATCGGGCCCACTTCACCATGAGCAGAAGCAGCTAAAACTTCGACCGGCCTCACGTGTTTCCCGAGCTAGAAGCTTGGGGTCGGTGAGCTCGTCGATCTCTGTTTGAGTCCCATCGGACTCGACCATCATCAGTTTAGCCCCCTTCTTCTTCCATTCCTGTAGACTCTTCTTCTTCCTCGCGTCATTCTGGGTAGGTTGAGCATTTCCTAGAGTGGCCTCTAAGTCTAAGGCTTCTAGACAATATCTCAAATGAGTGATACTCGAGGTGAGCCTCGCTGGCCAGCAAATTCATGAGGTTCTTTGGAAGGCATCTCACAAATGTGGTCAACAGAAACTGGTTATCGTAGTTGATGCCGGGAACGACGATTAGGCTCTCAACGGTAGTCGTAAGCTCTCTGATTGACTTGAACTTTCGTTGGTCTAGTCTATGCATCGCATCAGTGGCCATTTGCGCCTGCTGTGGATTGTGCCATCGAGCTTCTACCATTTCCATGAACTGGTCTAACGTAATTGTCCTAGCCCAGTCCACCATGCGTCGTCCGTACAGCTTTGCAACTAAACCATCTAGCCATTTGGCTGCCTTACCCTCGAGGTAAGATGCAGCAGTAATCACCTCCTCCTCCTGCAAAGTCCTCTTCGCCTTTACCCATACCGGAACCGTTCTCAACCAAGTGTTGAGTTCCTCATCCTTCTTCTCGCCTGAGAAGGAAGGAGGCGGTTTCATAGGGGTCTTAGGATACCATTGACCTTGCGGCTGTCCCTGTTGAGGAACAGGTTGTTGTGGTGGTGTAGCAACCACCGCTGGACCCGAAGAAGAAGAAGCAACAGTCTGTGAGACTGCTGCAAACGTGCCACTTGGTTGTGTGCCAGCTTGTACGGGAAAGGGGCCTGACATCGCCGTTAACGGCAACGGCGACTGTGCTGGTGGCCTAAATCCTGGCCTTTGTAAAAGGTCCAAGATCTGGTCTAGGGTGTTCTGCATAAAGTCCAATCTGTTGTCCACGTGCGCATGCAACGACAACATATTGTTCTTCAATATTTTCAGTTGGTCAGTCATTGCTGACTCATCCAAACCCTCTAACGCAGCCTTGTCTGCCTCTAATGTATCAAGTCTGGCTGTTCTATTTTTGATCTACCTTTCTCTATCGGTTGCCTGCTTCAGTTCCCTCTCTAACCGTTCATGGATCCTTTCGACCTGTTGGAGCTCTAGGAGCTCCCTTTCGCATGGGGTCAACGGGCTGAACTGCGAGCCCGCCATTTGACTTGTAGACTGTCGAGAACCTACTGAATTGGAAGTACCCGTGGATCCTGTGGGCATTCCCAATAGGGACCCTGACGAGGATGTTGCAGACAATACAACAGAGGATGCCGCTGCACTAGACATTGCTGCTGCTCTGGCTGTTGCTGCAGCCTGTTCCCTAGCTGCTTAGTTCGATGCTGCCCTCGCTGCTGCAAGAGCACGGGCTCTACGTTCGGCACGAAGCCGTGCTTCGTCTCCCGGTTGTAAGGTCTGGAACACGTGCGGGACCCTAAGTGCTCCCAGATGTGTAAGTCTCACCTTGTCAACTCCACCCTCATCGGTGTCTGATCCGCTCATGAGTTAGGCAAACACTTATCTGCACTAGAACCCCCTAGTGAAGTCCTACCACAGCATGTATCTGACCGACACGTAATTTTCTAAGAATAGTTGTGTCCGGCAGGTCCCCTACTTGACCGATCAAGTGGCCGCCTACAACATTCTCAAAAGACTATCAACATGGTATTTGTTCTATATTAATTAGTTCACTTACAGCATCATTAGATAGAACTGGATATGGTAGTATACAACAGTCCTACTCTAATTTGTCTGTGAGGTGTTAGCAGCTGTCAACCAACTAATCAATAATAATAAAACAAAACCATGTTGCAGATGTATGATCAGTGGGTATGGTTGTGTATCCAGTTGAGCATCAATTAGAACCTACCCTCCCCTCAATCCAACATACCGAACAGCATCAATGAGCAGCGGTGTCTTCATGTGTGTTTTCGGCCCACCCCTGTGCCCAAGTCGTTGCCGAGCAAGCCAGCCAGTCCACTTTTATTTAACCTCGTACGGAACGAGCCTTACACCCGGTTGATCTGGCTGATCAGGAGGAATTTTAAGAGCGCCCCCATCTCTTCAGGAATTATTTAATGTCGCAGTCAGGACGACGATCACAACCAGATTCAATCCGAGTCCCCAACCAGAAATGTTTATAGACGGTCTGGTAAGCGTCTCATAAAAGGCTGGCACACCCGGCAGGACTTCTATTCAGCGCAGCAAGTGCCAAAATGTACAGCAGCCATCGCATGCGTGACCTACTCCCATTGGGTTGGCATGGTGACCGTGACCCAGTGCTTCGACCAGGGCCCTTCAAAGGCACCACCCTTTCTCCTTCCAGATGCTTCCGGGAAGATTGTCGGCTCTCAAGGTAGCGCGCTCACGACACCTCACCAAAAGAGAGGACTCTCAAGTTGGACTCACTTCCTCATGGTAAGAAGAGATTGAGAGAGTAGATAAGGTAAGGGAACAACGTACCTGGAGATAGCTGCCCCCAACCACAGATTTCTCACCAATTGAGCTGAGTGTGCATTTGATGACCGGTCTTGGCCTCGGTACCACCCACAACGCAATGCAGTGCCACCTCAGCCGAATGCCACATCAGCATGCTCTCATCACCAATCATACATTCCGCCTGTCACCACGGCTTAATGCCGTCTTAGCCTTCCGGCGCACACCTCTCTACCCAGGCTGTGCGCCTAACATGGCCTAACGTCACAAGAACCAACTGCGAAGAAGCATCGTCAATGCACCAAGTCTGTATAACGCCAGCGCACCAAGGTAAGTGGCGAATCAAACCAGCTCTGATACCAAAATGCAAGGAACATGAATATGGACGAAGCACAGAAATCCAGATTGCAAAATCACACCGAAGTCCAAGTAGTCCAAAGCAAGAGCAGATAGCACAATGGAACCGAGTAACCATCCATTTGAGAATGATACAGAAGAATCGTGAGTCAATGTCCAAGCCCAACAGGGCAACACCAACAGCATAACCCAATGTAGCTCTCTCTCTTGAATGGCGCCAGGCGCCCTACCTACTCTACAGCCTAACACTACAACTACAGTATGAAAGCAACCAGACAACTTGACGACCAGCGAGTGATGATGTCAACACCAATGCCGACATCCCATCTCCACCAGGTACGTCTCCTTCTTCACCCACACTCTCCCTTGTTATCCCACACAGCGCCCTTCACCTCTGAAGAACCACCTTCGCCCTCACCTCTCCTGCGCCCTCAGGCAGCCCGGCTATGGCCGCCAGCGCCCTGTGTACAGGCAGCGCCCTACCGCCTAGCGCCTGCCTGTCTCGCACCTCAGCCTAGCGCAGCGCAGCAGCTCGCATTCGCGCAGCGTGCCGGCATTGCCCGCAATGGCCCAGATCCCTGCCCACTCGCCCTGCTTGCCTATATGCCAGTGCTGCGTGTGGGCGGCCTCCCTTGATCCTGTGCCTGGGCCCCAGTGTCTGTACCCAGCATGCCAGTGCCTGTACCCAGCATGCCAGTGCCCGATGCAGTTGGGGGGCCAGGAGATGCAGTTGCGCCTCTTTCATCAAGGCCTGTGGCCAGATTCAGATAGTGGACCGGTTTCCCCTTGGCATTTTCGGCCTCTATATCCAGCATGCATTGTCGGCCTTACGTTTATGTGCCCAGGGCCTAACCAACTCGGGGCCCTGGGATTTCTGCGTTTGCTTACTCGGTGCACACCAACCAACTGGCGTGCTGCAACTGTATGGACCCCACTTCATGAAATGTTTGCACAGAGGGCTCTTGTTGATTTGCTTGCCCGCCTTCACTTAGCGCGGGCACTAGGCTTGCTGGGGCCTTAGCCCAGAACATGTACATCATGGCAAGGCCCCTTCTTGAGGGCTCAATACTCACACTACCCAAGGCCCTTGTGCTGAAGCACCAAACAGTGTCCCACTGGTTAAAGCTTCCTAGGATGGGCAAGAGAGTGATTAGTGGCCATCGGCAGTGCAACAGGTGCGAACTTCTGGAAATTGATGATGATGACATTTCTGGCAAGTCATCAGCAAATTCTGAGCGCAAACCCTCAACCAATACACAAAGTTAGCAGCAAGTCCCCACAGGCTTTCAGGTACGGAATCTTTGATTCTTCGTCGAAACCATCAGAATACCTACGACGACTCCCTCCTTTCTCCTCAGGGAGGAAAACAAATAACCCATCATCCAAAAACCAGGACTGGCTGACGTACCTTCCTTCCACAACTAGACCTCCCAATCGGAAGCGGCTCTTTGAAGGCTGCTCTCGGAATTTCTCTAATGCCTGCATGCAGCCAAATGCCAAGGGACAGATATGTCATCTGCAATCGTTTTCTTTTTTTTTTCTTCCTTTTTTTTTTTTTTTTTTTTTTT